GACAGACAGGAATATATGATTAGGCATTATATGTATTACAACAATCTGGAACAAGGAGTGCATTGCAGCATGGGCTGGGGGAAGAAAATGTCCAACAATAAAAAAATAAAAATTTTTAAAGTATTTATTAATTTAGTTTTAACACTATTTTCATGCTTGGACATGGTAAACATGTTTTGGACCCTACTCTTTTCATCAGACCTTGAAAACCCCCAGCATCGCAAACACAGAGAAAGGCCAAGCTGACCCTCCACAGATGAGATGTGGCTCTGGTCTCACCCAGTTCACCACAGCTCCCTCCTCCACCTCACCCAGCCTCTCAGAGCCCAGGTGCTCAGGGACTGGGTCATCATATGCAGGGATTGTAGATGTAGAGACAGCTTCCTGGGAAAGCAGGGAGCCTCACAAGACACACTGGGAAGGTGAGAAATGGGCAAAGTTCTTCACTCCCACAAGAGTGTGCAGGGATGACAGTGAGGGTAGTGGCCACAAGGACATCAAGGTAACCATGAACTGCCAGTTGACATCTGTCAGTGGTGGTGGCAAACATTGTTGCTTCTTTGCAACCCATCGACACATAGTCATTATGCGTGACAGTGGCATCACTCCACAGGGGATCTCTTTGACTGTCACCACTATGGAAGCAGTTTTGCCTTTTTTTCCACACTGGGGTGTTGAAGGGTGTGCACGCATGCACGCGCATGTGTGCGCATACCAAAACCCACGCCCACTGCCACTGAGTCTGTCCCCTGAAGAGCAACTAGTGGATTTGAACTGTAGACATTTTTGCAGTGTAACACATGATGCATTGCACCACCAGGGTTCATATATGTGTGCATGCACATATGGACACGTGTGTGCACCTGTGTGGGTGTGTGCACGTGTGGAGTAGATTATCCAAATACAGCTGGAACAAGCACATCAGCAAAGAACAACCAAATGCACAGGTTGGGTTTAGAAGAGATTGTGACAGTAGGGACATCTTAGCCAATGTTAGATGGATCTTGGCCAAAATCAGAGGAATGTCTAGCTGTGTTTCATTGGACTAAGCAAAGGCATTTGACTGTGTGGATCACAACAAATTTTAGCTAACCTTGAGAAGAATGGGGATCCCAGAACACTTAAGTATGCTCATGTGAAACCTATACTTGGACCAGGAAGCTGTAGTCAGAACAGAGCAAGGATCAGGAAATGCATCATCAGGGATGCATCCTATCTCCATACCTTTTCAATCCATATTCTGAACAGATCATCCTGGAGGCTGGAGTTTATGAGGAAGATTGTGGCATCAGGATTGAAGGAAGACTCATCAACAACCTGTGCTATGCAGATGATAAAACCTTGCTTGCTGAAACTGAGGAGGACCTGAGGTATTTTGCTGCAGAAGGTCCAGAACTGTAGTCTTCAATATGGATTCAAGAAAACAAAGATTTTCACCACTGGGCCATTTGACAGGTTCATGATGGATGGAGATTAAAATTATTAAAAGCTTCAGCTTTCTTGGTTCCACAACCAACATTCTTGGCACCAGCAGTCAGGAAATCAAAAGACAAATTGCACTGAGAAGGTCTGCTGTCAGGGGCCTCTCTTAGAGTACTGAAGAGCAACAATGTCAGTCTGGAGACTAAGGCACACCTGATCCAGGCCATGGTCTTTGCAATTACTAGTTATGCAACCAAGAGCTGAACAATAACTAAGAAAGAAGGATCAACGCCTTTGAGTTGTGGGGCTGGAGTGTTGAACATACCGTGGACTGCCAGGAGAACAAACAGGTCAGTCCTGAAGAGGGTGAAATCAGGCTGCTCTCTGGAGGCAAGAATTTTGAAGCCTGTTGTAGAATGGGACTGTCCTTGGGGTTGGGGAGAGACTGAGTAAGATGGGTTCAATAATGTATACTGCACTGAAACAGAGGAGGGAGAGAACTGTTTAAAAGAGAGATGTAACTGGGTATTTCTGTCATCACAGGAGACTAGAGCGAGGGCTGCATGGTGGAGGGGACCTGGGGGAGGGTTTGTAAAACAATGAAAGAATCTTTTCTTTTACTTTTCCATAATTTTTGGACTCATGTACCTATAACTTGTTAGTCAAATTTGTGTCTTCTAGGTTGCAACACCCCCATGATACATCTTGAAGGATATGTACATGTACGGCCAAGCACAATCAATAAGAGTGCATCTGAATTCCAAAATCAATCTCCATAATAGTTTATGTGTTTCCTACTGCCAAAGGGGCCCTTTAGAGTAGTGAGAGAAGATCTTCACCCTGAAACCCACAGCGTCCCTTTTCAGCAGGAAGTAGCTAAGAGAATACGCCGTCCCCTTTTCCTTATGACTCAGGGTGAAGTCTCTCTCAGGGAGGAGTGATAGGGAATGGCAAAGGATACACTGACAAAGAAGCTTAATCAGAACTGGCTTTGACAAGCACTGTGGCATTTGGACAAGAACAAACTGGGAGGAGGGTAGAGAGAATAGTGCAACAATGAATGAGTGGAAGCCCAAAATCTCTGTAAATGTTTATGAAAATTAATAAAATATAATTATAGAAAAAAAAAAGAATTTTGAAGCTCAGTCTCACATAACTTTGGGCACATGGCCAGGAGGCATCAGTCCTTTGAAAGAGATACCATGTTTGGATGAATGGAGGGACAGAGCAGGAGAGGAAGATCCAGGATGAGGAGACTGATTCAGTGACTGCGGAAATGGGATTAGGTTTCTTGGAGACAATGAGAATGGCTCAGGATAGGGCAAAGTTCAGAGCTGATGTACATAGGGGTCGCTATAAGTCACAGGTGACTTGATGGCACATAACAACAACAATGCTTTTTATATAATTTTTCTATAAACCTAAAATTGCTCAAAAAAGTTAGTTTTGTGTGTGTTGTGTTTTTTTGGTTTTTTTTTTTTTAAGTTAGTTTTAAAAACACACAGAGAAAAAGGACAGCGCCTTTCTTGCAGAAGAACAAGAGCCCATGCAGATGCCAGGTCACTGTAAGGAGTCAGCACCCTGACTGTGTGTTCCCCGGACAGGACTAAGGGATCCAGAGGCATCCTGACCCTGCCATATAGACTTCACTTGGGGAAACAGCCCAGTGCCCTGTGGCTGGCCGCCCAGTACATCCCACAAGAGGCTGGGCAGTCCATGAAGATGCCTGGAGGAGGTGGCCTGAACTGTATGCCTCAAGGGACCCCAGGGATAGGTCCTCATAGCTCTGAAATGCAAGTGTGAGGACAGCAGACAGGAGAAGAGGCCTAGCTGGGGCAAAGCAAGGGCATAGTCAGCAACCTCCTGCAGAAAGGCTGGGCCTTGGCAGAGGCCACAACCCTTAAGTCAGGACATCCCCTAGGCTTTCGACCAATGTCCAGAACTGTCAATGGTCTATAGACATGATTAAACGTGTGAGGGGCTGTCTCCCCAGAGGTGCCCACAGCTCTTCCTGTAGACACAGAGCAGCAGCTTCTCAGTCAAGAGCAAGCGTGTGAACTAATGCATTACTAATGAAGAAACTGGTAACTGCTGACACACACTGGAGAACTGACCAATACATTGATCAGTGAATTAGTTATCAATGACTACATTAGGAATCTAATGAATGCAATAACAGATGTGACTATAGACACACTGGGCTCAGGATGTAGAGCTCAGAACAACCCAAGTCAGGTCTTGGGGGACACGGGAACCCTAGAGTCCCAAACTTATCCTGCAAGAGGTGAGGGGCCCATAATGCCACTCAATTCCTCTCTATCCACCAGAACTCCCCAGTGGGGTGGAGCTTCCTTCCAGTGTAGTAGTTGTTGTTGAGTATCCTTGAGTCAGAACAGACCCATAGCTGACTCTCTAGCGGGTTTTCAGAGGCAGTAAATCACACAGGAGGAGATTCCCCATCCTTCTCCCATGAAGTGGTTGGTGAATTTGCACTGTGTAGCTTTGAGATTGCAGCACAGCTTCTTACCAAGAGACCAGCAGAGCTCCCAAACATAGAGGGGACCATAAAGAGACAGTCAATACCCCCAGGCCCCAAAAACCCTTTCCAAGCAGAAATGGAGTGGAGTCAAGAGGAGAAGGGCTGCAGGAGAGGGAGGCGGCAGAGGGTGGCTGCCTCCTGGCACCTTTGGGGTATTTTGTTGGGGTGAGGCTCACTCCCACCAGAGGCCAAGCTCTGACCAGAATCCACCAGAGGGGCTCCCTAACCTGCCAGGGTTGGGGGAGGAGCAGGACTTTGTTGCCAGGTAACCACATCAATAAACCCCAGAGTAAGGACCTCGGCTCAGAAGGTAGAGGTAGGAAGGGCCAGTGCTGGGGACAGGGGAGCTCACCACAGCTGGGATAGGGGAGATTAAAACCTCCCCAGGGTCAAGTCTGAGGCATGATGGGCTGGGGTGGGGTGGGCAGGAAGGAGAGGGCTCGGCTCTAAGATGTCCCTTCATCCCTTCTCTTCCCTGGGATGTGCCCTCCACTACCCATTGAGGCTCAGCAGGGAAAGAGGTCAGAAAGGTGAGTGGCCCCTGTCCAGAGCTGCCCATTAGGCTCTGAACGTCCCCAAGAACTCACAAGAGCAACCCAGATGAGCCACATGCCAGCCCGTCTCTTGTGTCCTCTGCCTAGGCCATAGTAGAGGCTCGTCTCCCATGTCCCCAACCCTGAGTCTTGAGACCCGGGTAAGGTGACAAAGGCAGAGCCAGGTCCCGGTGTCCCCACTACCAGTGGTGACCAAAGACATGGGCAAGTTCTCACCCCTAGATCAATTTAGGGTCTCAGTCAAATGCCCATCAGGAAAGAGATTTCTGGAAACGGAGTCCGTCAGAAAATTCCAGCTGACCACACAATGAACAAGATGGGGCAGGGGGTGGAGGAGGGTCTGGACGGAGAAACTACTGCCGAGACAGAGCCGAGAGCTCCAGGGGACCGGCCCTGAGGCCCAAACTGGAGTCAGGTGGCCTGGGCTGAAGAGGGTTTGAGGAAAGTAGTGCCCCGCTGACGCTGCTCTCCCGCAGGGCCCTATCATGCCGGCCCCGCGAGTGAAGGAAACCGGGTATCACGGGCCGCGGGAGCCACCCTGGAAGAGTGCGCCGGGCTCGGGGGCCCGCGAGAAGAGGGCGCCCGCGGTGAAACCACCCAAGCCTGGCTGGGCGCTAACGGCGGAGGGGCTGGAGGCCATGTGCCCCGCGCAGCGCCACCGCCACCTGCTCTTCGGCGACCTGCTCCAGGACGTGAGCGAAGCTGCCTCCATCTTCCCGTGCGACTCGCCGGAGCTGGTGGGCCGCATGCCAGACCCGCGAATGTGGGCGCAACCACACGAGGAGCCGGCGCAGCAGCAGAACCGGCTCCTGGGCGTCCTCAAAGCGGCCGAGGCCCGCGGGCGGGTTCGCGCCCTGCGACTGCGCTACACCCGCCTGCGGGTCAGCATGAGACCCGCGGTCCGCGCGCGGGGACAGGAAGGGAGGGGGCCCGAACGACTGCCGAGGGGCCCTGAGGTTGGAGCGGGCGCAAGAATGGGGCAGCGGGCGGGCGAACGACTCTGCCTCCTCCGCCTGCAGGCAGAAGAGATCGCGCTGCTCATCCGGCAGCAGAAGTCCGCGCGCGCCGCCCTCCGGCTGGAAATATTTCTGCCGCCGCTGCTGAAGCCCAGGAGAATCCCGGACCCACTGGACCGCCAAGAGGTGCCCGCAGGCTTGGGAAAGGGACGGGGAGGGGTCGGCTGCCCCTCACGCACTCAGCCTCAGCTCCCTGCCCCACAGCGGAGGCGAGTGGAAACCATACTGGAGGAGAACGTGGACGGCAGCATCTTCCCCCGCTGACCGCGACACAAACCGTGGGACTGCCAAGCCCCCACATAAAGTACTCCTTGTCCAGCCGGTCTTCCCTGGTCTTTCTGCTGTCCGTCCTCCCCAGGACCCTGAGACGGAACTGGAATGAGCGGATGCTGTTCTAGGCCGGCCATCACAGACCTGAGGTGTACAGAACACTGCTCCCCAACAAAGCAGGGGAGGGGGAAACAGACAAGGCCATTCATTGGGACAGGGGCACACTGCCCCCAACTCCCACTGACCCCCACCAGTTAGCACCTGCTGTCTGTGGGCACGGAACCCTGACCTCTGCTCTAGGAGTAAGAGCAGCTTCAGGGCCCAAAATGGTTAGTCATTCCAGGGGAAAGGACTACACAATGTCACAACCAAACAGTGGGTTCTCAGAGTCTCCCTGGACAGGGAATCCTAGAGCCTGAAGAGACTCCTTGAAGAAGTCTCCCTTCCCACCCTGTGCCTCTTCTGTGTCCCAAACATAGACATACACACATGGGACAACTGAGCCAGCCCCTGCGGGAGCCTGGACACTAAGCTGAGCCTCTGGCGAACAGACACTTGAACTTTGAACTTCTCTCCCGTTCTGAGCTCACAGGTCCTGGGACTTTTTCTTTTCGCCTCTCCCAGCCCCACCCTTGCTGGAGGCTCCTGTGCCTTGCTGAAAGCAGAGGCACAGGTGGAAGGCAGTACTGGAAGGGGCACATTCTTTCCCCTAGAGGTCCAGTTGTGTCCAGCATAGAGGGCCTGGCCTTCATGGGTGTGCAGCCATGTGGCCACATGAGATTCTCTCCCACCCCCTCAGCCCCTCCTCTTCTCCAAAAGTCCTCCTTTAAAGAGTAAACCTTTCTAGACTTGCTGCCGCCTTTGGCCTTGATCCTCTGTAGGACAAGCCATGCACTTCTAGGGAAATGAGTAGGGTAAGGCATGGTTGTCAGGGCTGGGAGCAGGAACAGGGCAGGGCAGAGGTTGTGGTGCCCTCACCCTGTGTGGAGACAGCCACCCTGACCACTTGGCCTGCTGCCTGTATCTAGGGTCTAGGATTGTGTGCTAAAAAGACACCCTTGTGCTCAATAAAATCACCACTGAACCTTATCTCTTCCTCTCCAAGACAAGGTCACAGGCCTGCTGTGAGGGGTCTCTCAGTAACAGCCCACATCATGAGTGCTCCTTTTAGAAAGGATCCCTGCATCAGGGGCTCTTTTGGGTCAGGTCCCCCCGGATGGGCAAAATCCCAAAATAGGCAGCAAGGCAGATGCTTGCCAAGAGGGCTTAGACCAGTGCTGGGCCAACCCGTGAGTACTTCTGGGTTCCCATGACCGTGAGGGGCTCCAGGTCCAGGAAGAGGGCTACAGGAAAAGGGGGGGGGGCGACAAGTACATTCTTGTGAGGCCTGGAGGGCCTTCTGCCCAAAGAGGGCATTAAGAGAGGCTCAGGTCAAAGCATCTGGAATGATAATGGTTTCAGATGATGGGCAGTCTCAGTCCAAGCCCATCTCCTCAGGCTGGTAGCCTTGACAAGACTTCTCCGATGGTACATGAGGGGCGTGGCCCACACAGGTGGTCTCTTGGTGGAAATCACCTGGGAAAGGAAAGCTGTAGTGTCCACCAGGGTCTGAGTGCGTCTGGTCGCCTGCCTTCGAACTCATCACTAGGGTCAGAGCAGAGGGAGAGCAGACTCAAGGACAAAGCTAGCAGGCTCAGATGGCCAGAAGAGGACAGGGACAGTGTCCAGAAGTTGGAGGAGTGCTGACACCACAAATGTCAGCCTTTCCTCCTGGGAAGAAGGGGTAACAACACTGATCTCTAAGGAATGACTCCTGGGCAAAATAAAAAACAGAAACCTCTGTAAGGTAACTGCCCTCTGATCCTGCCAACACAGCCTCTGTGGGTGTCAGCTCTCTAATGGAACCTAAGCACACTTTCTCCTCCCTAGTCTTCCCAGTGGCCTCACTCAAAGATCCTGATGACCCTGGGTTCTGCCTGCCCCGAGCCTCTCCTGTTTCTACGCTGAGCCCACACTGCCCACAGTAGGCACCCTAATAGGGCCCACTGAATAAGGTGCACTCCCCTGACTTCCTGGCACCTGGAAGAGCCCAGCCCAGTAGGTGGGCATTGGACAGGCACTTGCACCCAGGGCCCTTCAGGGAAATGGTCAGGCCTTCAGGGAAATGGAGAGTAGAGGCCATCGTCAGGGACACAAAGGCATCTTCGCAGTGGCCAGAGGCACGCTGAGATTGCCAGAGGGCTCTGCGATAAGGAACTTCACCCATATCTGTGCTGTGTCCTAAAGGACTGAGAGTTGCCACTGGAGAGATGTGGCAAAGGGCACATGCGGCCTGTACGTCCAGAGGGTCACAAGGGGCTCGAGTGGGCCCTGAAACAGCCCAAGAACCCATACCCCTAGTGCACAGAGGCCCAGGCCCCTACCCTGCACGGTGCCAGCAGGCTTTCCCCATTTAGAGAAGAGGCAGAGTCCCAGATAGGGCGGGTGGGGCTGCTGAAAGCGGTTCAACCTTTTCCAGGGACGTCTTCCGTCCCCAAACGGGTACGCGGTACAAAGCCACAGGTCTGGGAAGCTCTATCTGGCACTCCTACTTAGCCAGGAGCCCGGTGGACGCCCTGTATGAATGGCCCAGATGTGAAGAGCAGGGTCACTACACACCAAAACCACAAGACCAGCACCTTCACTGCAGCCTAGGGGTGGCTGGGGAGGGGGAGCCAGGACGAGGGCGGGCGCCGGGCGCCGGGCAGCGGGGCGGGGCGGGCGCCTCCTGCTCGAGGAAGTCCCAGCCCCGCGCTTTGGGGAAGTGCGGCCAGGGCCTGCGCATGCGCCCCGCGCCCCCTCCCC